CCAACATCAGATGTTGCAGGCGCTTTTCCATCGTTTTTCCCGAGACCCGTCCGGCGGGATGTATGGGGGTTTCCGAAGTCATGGGGGTACCCCAATAGCTGGATGGTTTATAATGGAAAATCCATGAACATCCTATATTATCCTATATTAAAATGGATCCTTTGGGGGTACCCCCATGACTTAGGAAACATCCTTGCCAGACTGGTGGTTTGGCCTTGGTGCTTAGGATTTAGGCGCTAGCAATCCCCCCGCAATCCCTAGCAATAGCGTCCAAATCCACAGGCCTGAACAAGGTTGCTTGATATCAATATCACTTGATTGATAATGTACTCATTCTATAAAATCATTTAAGTATGATTGATCTCTCACTGTTTTAGACCCTCATAATGCAATGCGTGAACCAGTTTACTCTCTATTTGTTCGGTGTTTTTCTGCTTTGACCCAGACTTAAGACTATTGCAGCAAACATGTGTCAGAATCACGAAAAAGAAACATGTGTATTTTGAACCCCTCGGCCCGTCGGCATGTATTTAAATACTGACTATAACATATTATAACTGTTTGTTGGATAGAATGCCATCATGTACGGTGTATATATATATGATGGTATTCTATCTATATAAATGGCTATATACACATAGATGTATGTTACATAGGGTTGGTGCCATCATCCCCCACCCACACACCGACACTGTGGGATGCAGGCGCCTGCGCGGGCCCCCGTGCGCACCGGGCCATGTATCGTGTGCCGCGAGGCTTGAACGAAACATGGGCCATGAGATGCGGCACGGGTCAGCCATGGGATGTTTTAGTTGTAGGTTTATCCTGGGAATCATGGCCATTTAAATATATATATATATATATAGTGTATATATATATAATATATGAATAGATTAAATTATATACTGTATATATGTGATCATATAATATAATGGGATTTCGCTGATTTCATCCATGAAAATTGGATTTCATGTTGATTTGATGGCACTCAATGGGATGTTCTGTCATGGTGAATCTCATAACCATCCAAAAGGGATTTATTTGATTATCAAAATATGGTAACATCATATGACTTAATGGCGATTGATACTTGCTGGGAATTGTTCTGTGGATTCAACCAGCAAAATATGGGGACTCAATGGGAATTGGAGGGTGGTGTAACCAACAATGCTGTGGCAACTGACTGGGTGGGTAGTTCAGTTAGTACTAACTAATCTCGCCAAAATATGCCAAAATTACATATATATATATATATATATATATTAACAAACCAAAACAAATGGGCAGAAGTTTTGGAAGTGTAGGGGATTCACGGCCCCTCAAAAAATAGTAAGGAATCTGGTTTTGATTTTGGGGATGGGTATCAAAAAAAAATATTACTAGGATCAAAAGAAAATTATTATTAGGATCAAAAGAAAATTATTATTAGGATCAAAAAAAAAATATTACTGTTTGTAAGTAAAGGAAAGAAGGAAGGGGGGGAAGGAAGGAAGGAAGGAAGAAAGATTGAAGTAAAGAAAGGAGGGTAATTTAATTTGTTTTTTTTTTTTCTCCTGGCTCCTTTGGCTCCTGGCTTCTGTGGCTCCTGGTGGCTCCTGGTGGCTCCTGGTGGCTTCGTGGCTTCTTGGCTTTTTGGCTTCTGGCTTTTTGCTTTCTGTGGCTCCTTCGGCTCCTTCGGCTCCTGGCTCCTTCGGCTCCTGGCTTCTGTGGCTCCTTCGGCTCCTGTGTCCCCGGTGGCTCCTGGTGGCTTCTGGCTTCTTGTCTTGCTCCTCCGGCTCCTCTGGCTTCTTCGGCTCCTATGGCTCCTTCGGCTCCTGTGGCTTTTGGCTTCTATGGCTCCTACAGCTCTTCTTCTCTTGTACTATTCTCTTTCTCTTTGCACATGCAGTCAAAAATAGTTATTATTGCAAGCAAACAAAACTATTATTGCAATGAAAAAATATTCAGGAAGGAAGGAAGGCAGGCAGGCAGGAAGGAGGCATCTAGATAAAAAAAAATATTATTAGGATCAAAAAGAATATTTTCGGACAAGGGAAGGAAGGAAAGGAAAGGAAAGGAAAGGAACGGAAAGGAAAGGAAAGGAAAGGAAAAAGGAAAGGAAAGGAAAAAGGAAAGGAAAGGAAAGGAAAGAGAAGGGAAGGGAAGGAAAGGAAAGGAAAGAGAAGGGAAGGGAAGGGCAGGGAAGGAAAGGAAGGAAAGGAAGGAAAGGAAGGAAAGGAAGGAAAGGCGTGGTTTTGCTTGAGTGACGCTGCTCATTCTTGCAACCGCTGGGATGCAGGTGCATGCCTCTAGCATGAAGTCAGACAAGTGAACCCGCTGAATTTAAGCATATAAGTAAGCGGAGGAAAAGGAACTAAATAGGATTCCCTCAGTAATGGCGAATGAACACGATCTCAGTTTTTGGGGCTCCCCTCCCGGCTTTTTATTTTCAAGCGTCCCCGCGGCTTGTGACACCGCCCCAAAAGGTGGATGATAAGGCCCACCTACATTGCGACTGAATGTATCATGACCATGTGACGCTTTCAGCGCCTCCCCCCGCGCCCCCCTCCCGCCTTTTTATTTTAAAGCCTCCCCCGCGCAGCTTGTGACATTGCCAGAAAGGTGGATGATACGGCCCACCTTCTGTTTCAAAGGTGGATAATACGGCCCACCTTCTGTTTCAAGCGTGTGTGATCAAATTTGTCGTCAAAATTCAAGTGCGTGCTTTGCTGCCACACCACCTCGCCCATAGTAAATCAATTAGCCTAAGCGCGTGCTTTGCTGTAATGCTATGACAGAGCCACAAAGGTGGATGACACGGCCCACCTTTTGTTTCAACGTATGTGATCAAACTTGTCGTCAAATTCAAATGCGTGCTTTGGTGCCATGCTGTGACAAAACCACAAAGGTGGATGATATGGCCCACCATCTTTGTCGCTACAAAAAGCTGGATGGTATGGCCCACCAACTGCTACGTCTACTGCTACCGCTGTATGCTGTGACAACGCCACAAAGGTGGATGATAAGGCCCACCTACATTGCGAATGAATCGATCATGACCATGTGACGCTTTGCGGGGGGAGGCGCTGCGCCCTTGTTTTTGCTTTAACTTGCATCCTACGTGGGTACTGCATGAGTATTGAGCACATTTATATACGCTCTCAAGGCTCAAGAGAGATATAGAGTAATCTTGTGGACACCACTCATGTGACGCTTTGCGGGGGGAGGCGCTGCGCCCTCCCCCCGCCGTTTTATCTCGAGCGACGGAAGCAGAGCTATGTGCGCTTGGGCGCATACGCTTTGATCTGAAAAAGTCCGTTGGCCGCTGTTACCGTCTGGCGTCTGTCTCAACATTCAACGAAAATCAAAAAATCAAAGTATTTGCTGTGCTCTCATGCGTTGCCGACAACAACAACAACAACAACTACAACAACAACAACAACAACTACTACCACTACTACTACTATTATTACGACTACTATTACTACTACTACTATTACTATTAGTACTACTACTGCTATTATTTTTACTGCTACTACTACTACTACTAGTACTACTAGTACTAGTACTACTACTACTACTACTACTACTACTACTACTACTAGTACTACTAGTACTAGTACTACTAGTACTAGTACTACTAGTACTAGTACTACTAGTACTACTACTAGTACTACTACTACTACTACTACTACTACTACTACTACTATCATTTCTATTATTATTATTATTTTACTACTATTATTATTATTTCTATTATTGTTATTATTATTAATATTATTATTACTATTAGTATTTTTATTTTTACTACTATTATTATTACTATTACTACTACTACTACTACTACTACTACTACTACTATATTACTACTACTATTATTACTACTACTACTGCTATTACTATTATCATTATTATTACTATTAGTATGAATCCTAATACTATTTTTTTGATCCCTATAATAATTTTTTTTTGATCCCTAAATAATATTTTTTTGATCCCAATAATAATTTTTTTTTGATCCTTCACCCTTGGCTGCATTGGATTTTCCAGTTGGATTTGGAGATTTTCAGAGACCTCTTGGGCCCTCCAGGGTGGACACAGGGGTAGCATCAGCCAGGCTGGCGCTGATACTGTTTGCTTGCCTTGCGGGCACTTGCTAGTTGCCTGGCCCAAGGAACACAAATTGCCAGCTAGTGGGTTCTTGTCAAAATCGGTTCATGCAGTTTTTGTTGGACCTTTCAAGTTTGAGAAATCCAACTAGTTGTATCTAGTTGTAAGGGTTTTGCAGCTTGAGAGGCATAGAAGCGACCCCCAGCAGAGACTGAGGATCGTTCAACTCTTTATATCCACGAATCTCTTCAGGTGTCCTCACAGATTTGGATCTTTTCATCCGCACTTTGGGTGCGAAACATCCAGACATTTCACACAAGTCACTGCAAGATGGCACTATTCGCCAGCGAAATCTAGTGGGGACCATCCTGCGGCTCCCTAAGGTGTGTTTCAGATGCTCCCGGAGGTATTACCTCTCTGCGACTTGGTCTGAGACGGTTGATCCTGGCAATATATATATAATATTAATATAGGACAATGACAATAGGGCGGATGCAAAAGCCCGGTATGTACAAATGTATCTAATATTCTCTAATCTCAAAAGAAGATCATGAAGGTAGATTAGGTTTGTAAAAAACCAGAGGCATTTGTTTCTTTGATTTGTTGATGAATACAATCAGTTTAAAAAACAGTGTTGATTTCAATTTAGTATTGTTTTTAGGACCAATATTTGTTCATACTGTCCGTGCAATTGTTCCTTTCGGATTTGGAAGAGTTTGGATGAGGGTCCTAGGCTAGTTGGTTCCAAGCCTTCCTGTAAGGAGGACCGGATGCATCCAGACACCAGGCCTGTGTGCAGCTCCAAGGGAAATTATGTGACTTTCAATGGGGATTTATTTTTGTTCGGAGAGACCGCATGATCTATCCGTTTTCCATCACACTGAAAAAGCCTAGGAGATACCAATCTTCTCATGATTTCTCATTGCCCAGCCAAGGAGTGGATTTTTCCATGGAATTTCACCCGGCAGGTGTCCAATTTGCAAGCAACCAGTGCAGAGCTTCCAGCGGGTCCGAGTCCTAGAGCGCCTAGGGCCATGCAGACGGGCCAGCGGGGCATGGTCAACGTCGGTCCACGGTCCCCGTCAGGCCCTGCTGCAGACCCAGGTGCGCAGAGAAGTCCCAGGGCTGGGACCGTTTTCGGTGAAAGTGCCAGAAATCGGATGGAGAAAGTGCCAGAAATCGGATGGAAATCTGTCAATGGCCTATTTCTTGCGGTTAATTTGTGATGAATAGCTGATTAACTACAGTATACATAATTATATAATATTATATAAATAAATCAATAATAATCATAGATAATTAATTGCTGCGACGTCACTGGAATGATGTTTAGTATAGCGATGATTGTCACTAAATGATACTAAATGGTTTTAAGTCTTATTTCAGGTCAATGAATTAACATGTGATGATGGGGAAAGAGGCTAACTAGCTACATGTTTTTTGCTCTCGGGGCATCCAAGTTTGGCCATGAACATGTCATCACGTTTGACTCATGTGGATCATGTCCAGTGCCATGAATTACCAAATTCACGGAAAATACAGACTCACTTTTGTCACTACAATGTCATGGGCGACACAGTACATGACACATGGCATATTTTGCGGATTTTTTTGCGGTGAACTCTTGCACTAGGAGCCCATGAAACTTCCCATTTGCAACCTGCAATGAGCGAGGGTAACCCCCAAAAAGACAGAACAATATAAAACCAAACTATATAGTGCCAAATCATGGTACTACATTCTTTAAAAAAACATTTTCGGATGCTACAGATGTTATGGCTTAGTAACTTGGAGTTTCTGTGGCGCCGTCCTGAGCTTCCCGTACCAGGATCGGAGGAATGTGAGTGGGCGCTCGTGCACGTGACAGTCTCCCATTGGATGGTAAGAAAACAACTCGCACAAGCCACAAATGAAGGTCCAATGGTGAACGATTTCAAGCCCGCGTGAAGTGTGTTAATTCTGGAGGAGCCTATTTGCTGGTTAAAATAATTTAAAAATATTTAAAATACATAGGACCCCACATGACCCCACTAAAAGCCCAGGTTTTTGTTTATAGATCCGGGGTTGGCATCACCCAAAACATATGTTTCCAGGTTGGTGAAATAGTTCATTTCAGCAAGATGCATCACTGGCTTGGGGATTCCCAATTCTATGAGAAAGCAGCAAAGTTGGTCAGTTAAAAGCAGAAGCTCCATCGATGGTGCTGAGAGCTGCCTGTCCAGCCGGAAAAAGTTCACCCGTGGCGCCGGCAGTGCGGAAACATGCAAGAAAGTGCATCCTTGGGCAGATGTCCTTCGATCTTCGATTCTGTTATGGTTTTAAGCCTAGTTGGGTAATCCCACTTTTGGGATGGGTGTAATTGGGACAGGACCCCATGATTGTAAAATTCGAGCCACATGTCACATGATTCCATGTTTGACGCACATCCTGCTGCCAGTCCCTCAACCCTCTGCAGTATGCATCACCTTGGCCGAACATCGCGAGGAGGCACACATCGGTTTATCCCTTGAGGATCTACCAATACCAGGCTTTTTGGGCACTTTTATATCAACACCGGAAAAGATACAAAAGTAACATCCTACTCAAATAGTGCTAAATGACTGTTCTATCTTAAGATGGGGGTTTCCCTTTTAGGCTATTGATGTATAGAATGCGAGGATAAGTCATGGCCTAGGATGGAATTTATAGAAGCACAAGGGCCGTTTGGGGACTATGAATGCTGCTCTGAAAAAAACATGACCCAATTGTAGTAGTGCCCTTTAGTATCCTCTGGTTATTTAACATAGCTTTGGAACCTGGCCCATTGATAGATGATCTATATATTGATTTATAATAATTCACCTATTCAAAAAATATGATTTTTCAAACTACGTCAAATAACTACAGGGTAAGCTCTGAATGTGGTGGTACCAAACTGTTCGAACATTCCATCGCTATGATCTGTGTCCGGATCAATCTACTGGGGTCCCTGGGCCATGGGAGGCTCTTCAGCGGATGGCCATCATGAGCAACATGGGTCCATGCCCTTAGATCTCACCAACACAGACCGCCTGGATGAATGCTGGGTGCAACAAAATGCATGTATATGATCGGTTCAACATGGTTGGTAGATGATATCACTGTTGTTGGATTCAAATCATGAGCCAACCGGGTTTTATCACATTTCTTGGTTGAGATGACATATCTGTGTTAGCCAATTTTGTTGGGTGGGTTTTGCCAGCTCACTTGGTTTGGGAGGAAGTTGCCTCGCAGACTTTGGAAAAAATGGAAGTTTCAAATTACCCTCTGGTAATTTGACATAGCTATGGCAGCTATGGACAATCACCATGTTTAATAGGTAAATCAATCATCTTTAAAGGGGCAAGTTTCTATAACTATGTTAAACTACCAGGGAGGAACCATATCTTGAGGTCAACCATGGATTTGAAATTATATAAAGTGTGACAATTGTAGTGATGTCCGGCAGCTGTTCAATGTCCCAGGCTTGCACGTGTTCCACCCAGAGTGGCAGACGGTGCCTTCAGGCGTTTTTTGGGGATTCGGCACTCTGCCCTGGTGGTCAGCCATGTTATCAAGGGAGAAAAATGCGGTAAACTAAATGCCATAAACCATCCCCCAAAATCAGTATTAAGTATTCTGGGTGGGATTCCAACCATCCCCAAGTTTGGTAGGTTTATTGCAGTGGGTTTCCCACATGTGAAATTCATTGAAACGATGAGGCACTGCAGGATTCAGTCCTTATCTTGTCCCCGATTCGGCCGCTGTGCCCGTTGTGTTGCAGGCAGCATGCCACGGGGTCGGCAGTATAGCACCACCTTCAAGACAACGACCATGAGAATTTTCGGTCAGGGACCTGAGGAAGCGAAAACAGCGATCCGGTGGTCTTTTTAAGTGAAGTCTATGGCTGTGATTTGTTGGGTTTCAACTAAAAGTCATTGGATTGACCGAGAGATAAGTGGATGGATGGACAAATGGATAGGTATAGGCATAGGTATATAATTAGATAGATGCAGGAGACATGGTTCGAAAGATGGACTTCCGACCGGTCGAGCCTCCGGTAAGGCGGCTGTTTTCTTCGTGTAACATCATGGCTTTGAATCCACGCATATCCACGCGATGTGGAAATTTGGGCCAGCCAAATATGGATCCTTATTGGTCCATGGCTTTCTACCTGTTCTTGCGGCTGGTGTTTGAACTCTAGTTTTTCTTGGGGGAAATTGTCACCATGGAAACCGCTATATAAACCAATCCATCCTCTAATGAATGGGATCATGGTCCCAAAGTGTGCAACTTTCTTGCACTTACTTACGTTTGGAGTGGCTAAATCCCACATACATGTCGCACTTACATGAGTGTGTGTGTGTGTATAATTGTGTATGATATATATATATATACACACATGCATTTGTTCGTACCCAGACAAGCAAACATGTGTATATCTATTATATATATATGTATGATGCATATTTTTTTATGTGTGGACAGAGTTGTGTACACACAACAATTGCACAACTCGTAGCTTTCAATTATGTGTTCTTTATGTTTTCCCTATCTTTTTTTTACTCATCGTTTTTGGAAGCTGAAACCACGACGCAGCTGACGCAGACCTCAGGTGGTGATGACGAAATCACTTTTCCCATCCAAACCTGCACACGCGCGGGAGATGTTGGGTGGCCGAGTGGCTGATGCCATGACTTGATCTATAGTCTATGCAGTGTATGCTGTGCTTGTCAATATTAATGTACCACTGTATGTCATAGGGCGTACGATATGCTTGTGTATATAAATATAATATATATATATATATATATGTATAATATATATATATATATTTCTATTGCTGGGATGTTAAGGTGTTCATGGTTTCTTGTCAGGGATCTTGGAGAATGTTATGTTGTGGATGTTAATATGTGCACTCCTTTACTGTGTACAGGTTTAGACTGTTGATCTCTTTAGGGTGAGATGTTGGGACCGCAGCCATCGTGTGCAAAAGGCTCGCCTTAACGCCCGGCGCCCGGCCGCAAGTCCCCACCGGCCGGCAATGTACGCGATGAATACCAGCGCGCAATGGTCCGTTCCCATGGACCACATGTATGCCAGTGAAGACACAGCTGCAGGGTGCCGCGGGGAATGAACCTTTTTTGGGGGGGCCTGGGAAAGGAAAGGTCCGTTGAGTAATTACAACTCCAGCCATTTGGGTCATATCATTGTTATATGAAGATCAAGCAGTGTTGTGATATTGTGGTGCAGATCTATTTTGTATTTATTTGCATAAATCCGTTTGCTTCCAAAAAGGTGTTCACCTTTGATCGGAATGGTTGTTGTTGTGTTTTTTATTTCCTCAGTGGGATTCTGGGACTCCCGTTTGCTGAGGATGTCCCACTGTTTTTTCAGCATGATTCATTGGATCACCAAGATAGGTGTGGGCCTCATGAGATACACATCTATTGCAACTAGTCAGTACCGGTACGCGCTCTTCCTGAGTGCTACCTTCCGAGCCATCGTTGGCATGGCTAATACTGTGCTTGGCCACATATGATATGATTGTGTGATATATATGTATATACTGTATATATATATATATATCATATGATTCTTTTATACACAGACTCATGTAGCACACACATATATATATATATATATATGTGACATGGTATAATCCATCTACCCATATATATATATATATTTATAGGTGATACTGCATATATATATATATGTGTGTGCGTATGTGTGTACATGTCATATGGCTCTGGGCATGCATTGATACAGTGCGATGTCACCAAGTTGATTCCCTTCAAAGTGATTGTGCAGATGAACATTCCCCCGCTGCTAGCTCCATTGAACTGAGGATTCCTGGACCTGGGGATTTCTGAGCTTTTAATAGTTTTGAAGTTTTAAGACCCACTGCCATGTGGAGGTATGAGGGTTATGGAAACTATGAGTACGAGGAGACTGGCGACTACTACCAGCAGCTCGGCTCATCCACCAGCCTGCACATACTAAGATCCAGGTGCCCATGATGTAACAATTTATCGCTTCCCCACAATGATACTAACAATAACAATAATAAATATTACTGTATATATTATACAATTATATTTTTACATACCACCCACAAAAGCCGTGGTTTTGCACTACATCTACTGATTTTCCGGCCAACGCATGGCGTTTTAATATTTACAGGGGTTGTATGGTCCTTGTCCTTCTTGTTGTTGTTGTGGTTGGTTGGTTGGTTGGTTGGTTGGTTGGTTGTGTTAAGTAACAACATTGTCCAACACACAATTAGTGTACAGTTCAACAGCTGCTGGATGTCACTGTCAACATTATGGATCAACAGGCCTTGAGCCTGAGACTGTTTGCCAACAGTACAAAAGAGTGAGAGCGCACAGCATCAGCTGCAACATTGATTCAACAGAGCTGCCTGAATCTTTTCATGGTAGCGGAGCAGTGATCCTGGAAGCATCCAGGTGAGCTCCAACAGGAAGAGGGCTTGATCCCAGAACACTGGGGGACTCTCAACAACAGCTGGAGCAACAAAGGGTAGCAGCCCAACACACCACCACTGCAACGACAAGGTAAAGAAACAAACTCAACAACAAGGTGCGCAGGAAGAGGGCTTGATCCCAACTATACAGTGTGGGGGACCCTCAACAACAAGGATGGCGACGGCACATGAGATAGGATCGCCAACAGCAGGAGAAACACAAGCAGAAGCCCTAGCATCAACACACAGGCTGAAGTTGAAACCGCCAACATACGATGGAAACTGCGCAACATTCGAGGAATGGAAGTACAAATTCTCAGCATACATGGGCCTACAGGACAACATCTTTCCACAACTGCTTTCAAGAGCAGAAAGAGCAACAACAGTGCTCACAGATGCAGAGCTGCTCGGTGCAGCCTCAACAATAGAGCAAGGAGAGAAATGGACACAACTGTGCAACAACCTCAAATACATACTCATTAACATCACCAGCGGCCCAGCAGCAACAATATGCAGACAATACCAAGACGCAATGGGCTTAGAAGTCTACAGGCAACTGTGCAACAGGTTTGCAATACCTGTTGGAACAAGAAGCATAGGCTACCTCAGAAAGCTACTCAAACCCAAGTTCGACACCAACAACTTTGAGGAGTCCTTCTCAACATGGGAATTTGAATTTGCACGTTACGAGCGTGACAACAATGCACAACTACCAGACCAAGTGAAGATAGCAGTTCTCATGAATGAGACAACAGGACCACTCCAACAACACTTACACCTCAATGCCAGCGCAACACCAACATATGCTGAAGTGAGGACAACAATCATGGAGTACTACAGAACCACAACTGCGTTCTCAAGACTTCAACAACAGTCGTCTTCAGCAGTCAGCAGTAACTTAGGAGGAGGCCCAGCTCCAATGGATATTGGAGCAACATACAAAGGCAAAGGAAAAGGAAAAGGAAAGAGCAAAGGAAAAGGATTCAACAAAGGAGGTCACAAAGGAAAAGGGTACCAACAAGGAAAAGGCTACGGAGGCTACGGCAGTTACCACAAAGGAAAGGGCAAAGGAAAACAACAGCAATGGTATCAGCCAAAAGGAGTAGAGAAAGGAAACAAAGGAAAGTCGAAAGGAGCTCACAACAAAGGAAAAGGAAAGAATCCAACAGCAATATGCTACAGATGTGGTCAACAGGGCCACTTGGCAAAGGATTGCCGAACAGCGGTGTACAACATGGCAGAGACACCACAGGAACAGGACCAGGATGGAACATCCCAATGGTATGACCCAAACAGTGGGTATGACAACTACTGGTACAGCAACGACCAGTCAGGCAACTATAACATCCAGCCAGCCCAGCAACAACAACAACTAGCTTTGCCAGCGCCACAAACCACAACGCAGACACCAACAATACAACTTGTGGGAGCACTGGGCCATCAGGCAGCAAGTGCCCACAATGAAGCAACCACCACAGCTCAAGCAGTGCAGCAGCAGAGAGGAGACAACGAGGTGGACGTTATGATCGACAGTGGAGCAGCAACACACGTTTGTCCAACATGGTTTGCACCAGACACACCACTGTATCCACTACAACAAGGACAAGGACCTAGGTTGAGGACAGCAACAGATGAGGATATCTCAGTGCATGGCTACAAATGGGTGTACATGCACAACACCAACAAGCAAACAATAGTTGTTCCCTTCTATGTGTGTGATGTGACGCAACCCATCATGTCAGTAACAAGACTGGCAGAACAAGGGTTCAACACACAACTTAACGAAACACCAACAATCACACACACCAAGGGATTCAACTCAGCACTCAAACAACGAGAAGGCCTATACTTCTTGCCAGTTGTGCTGATCACACTTCCAGCCAACTTGAGGCTTGAAGTCAACCAGACAGCAGAAGGAACAACAGCAAGAATAGCACCAGTCACACTGACTCCAACAGGCATGGAAGTCCTTCGCAACAAGAATGACCTATGGACATTCAACAGCCAAGGTTTCTTGGTAAGAGTCCACAGGACAACACGCAAGGCATTGTTCATGCCAGACACCAGATGTCCAGTTCCAACAGAAAGGTTGGAGAACTACAGAAGAACAATCATACAAAGACCAAACAACAACACAGAGGTCATCGAAGAAGCATACCAAGACCTCGACAAGAAGCAACAAAAGGGGACTATACAAGGAAACAACTGGACAGGAGAAACATGGTTCCAAGTGAAACGTGGAACAGTACTTCCAGGCAACATACCACCACCACCACCAACACTTCCACCAGCCAAAGAGCCAGCGACACCATCTCAACAAACCACAGTTGACCAACCACAAGCACCAATGTATCGACACAATGTGAAGAAGCCTCTCACAGAGGTAAGGCCAACAGGTCAAGCAATGACCACAACGCAGCCATATCAGACAGCAATTCCACATCCAAAGGAAGTCAGTCCAACGCAGGACTATTGGATCAAGGAAGGTCCATATTGGAAACGTGTGCATGTCCAACCAAGAAGGGACATGTACATTCCACAACAAGCAGATGATGGACCAGACGTGACAAGACTGACAACATGGAGACAAACAATTGTGAAGCCAACAAGTGGCAACAGAGGATATAGAATAGATGATGACTGGACGACAAAGAGGAAAGCAACACTCGACATAGAGTGGACAGGCTCAACAAACTTTGAAGAAAACGCAGCATACAAAGATGAGTTCATCACAGATGAGCCAGAGGAGCAACAAGAAGCCAAGAGAGCAAAAGGAGTGCCAACACCACAACAACCAACAGAACAAGAAAGAAGAGAACACGAGCTCACACACCTTCCCTACAGAAGCTGGTGTCCAACATGCGTACAAAGCAAAGGAAGACAGGACAACCATCCAAAGCAAACAAGCAAAACACCAGTGATCCAAGTGGATCTGATGTACTACAAAGCATTAGGAGAAAAGCAAGCAACATCAGTCCTTACAGCAGTGGACGTTGAAACAGGCATGTGTATGGCAGTCCAACTTGAGGACAAGACGCAGCACGTACAATACCTGTCAGTTTGCCTTCAACAATTCCTGATGGAATGTGGCAGAACACATGCAATTCTCAACAACACCGTTCTTCAATCAGACCAGGAAGACTTTATCATCTCCTTGCTCAAGATGGTGGCAACAGCCATGGGCAGCAACATAGCAGTCAGGCAAGCACCAGCCTACACATCACAAGCACAAGGAAGCGTTGAACGTTTCCACAGAACATTGATGGGCCAAGTCAGAGCTCTCAAACTCCAACTGGAGACCAACTATGGCATCAAGCTCAACAGCAAGCATCCCATCATGCCGTGGCTTGTCGAACACGCAGCATACCTGCTCAACAGGTATTCCATCCACTCAGATGGAAACACAAGCTACTATAGACGATGGGGTAAAGAACACAAAACACCAATATGTGAATTTGGTGAAACAGTTCTTTACATGCTACCAACAGCAAAGCAGATGCCAAAGATGGAAGCAAGGTTCTACCCAGCCATTTGGCTAGGTAAGGACAACTCAACAAACGAGAACATACTTGGCATCAGCAACAAAGTGGTCAAAGCAAGGACCATAAGAAGACAAATAAAGCCAGACAAGCACAACAAGCAGTTGATGGACATCATCAACTCTTCGCCAGCCATGATACCACCAACAACACCAAGCATTGTGGTACTACCACAAACTGCTGCAGCAAAGCAGCAGACAACAACAAGTACACAGACTCAGCAGAGTCCACAACCAAAAGCCTTGGTACAACCACACATTACACCACCACCAGCACTTACAGACCTTCCAATGGCAACAGCGCCAGCAACTCAGCCAGCAAGGCAGCCAATTCCATTGCCGACACAAGGCAAAAGAGAAGTAGCAGATGAGATTACACAAGGCAGCTCACCAAAGCAAGCAAGGACAACAGAAAGAGCCACAGCAGCCAGCCGACCTGACACCGCTCAGGAGCCACCAACAACAAGGATGAGGATCTCACAAGTCACAGTCACAACGAAGAAAGGACAGAAGATAGAAGCAACCTCCAACGAAGATGAACAGGAGATACAAGCTGAAAATATTCTCCTGGAACCTTGGGTGAACAACACCGAAGGTTTAGACAAGGAACAAACAATAGAAGGAATGAAACAAGAAATCAAGTCAATGAAGGAACAAGGTGTATATACAGAAGTACACATCAGCCACCTCACCCCAGAACAACGCAAGAAGATCATCAAGTCAAGATGGGTTCTTCGACAGAAAGGCAGCACAGTGCGAGCAAGGATAGTAGCAAAAGGATACACAGAGGAGATCAATGACAACGACGACATCTTCGCGTCAACACCAATCTTCTGCGTTCTGAGGATGCTACTCGTCTTAGTACTTTGCAACAACTGGATCTGCCTCACAGGAGACATCTCAACAGCCTTTCTACATGCCGCAGCAGCAACAGCAGATCTCTTTATGTATCCACCAGCAGAGTTCTACAACGCCTTCGATCAAATCGTTTGGCGACTCCACAAAGCCATCTATGGCTTACGCAGCAGCCCAAAAGCATGGCAAAATCACCTGGCAGAGGTGATGCAACAACTTGGACTACGACGACTTGTCAGCGAGCCCAACGTCTACGCAACACCACAGGGAGATGCATACATACTATGCTACGTCGACGACCTGCTCTTCATTGGACAACAGGAGACGGTTCACAAGCTGTTCAAAAGCATTCAGCAACACCTTCTACTCCGTCCAACAGGAGAACTCACAGTCGGCAACACCATCAGCTTTCTGGGTAGAAACATCTGCAACAAAGGTGACTACTACGAGATCAGCTTAGCAGACAGCTACACAACACAGCTGCTGGAAGAAGCCAGCATGCTCAACTGCAACTCAACACCAGCACCAGGCAACAATACTCTGAAAGCAACATCAGAGATGGAACAAGAACTCAACAAAGAAGAACATGCAGCCTACCGAAGAATGGTTGGCAAGCTACAATGGATGACCTACACAAGGCCAGACATTGGCTTTGCAACAAAGGAGCTTGCAAGAGCTCTGACACAACCAACAACAGCAGACCAGCAGAAACTGAAACACTTGCTCAGGTACATCAAGGGAACACAACA